ATTATACCTTTCTTTATATATTCATTATATATTTTCTTTATCTCATCACCAAATGTATTGAACGATAAAGGAACAATAGCACCTGCTGCTGCTAGTTTTTTATTTTTTTCTCTCGCTGTCTCTCTTTCTGTTTCTGCTGTAGCACCTGCATGTCCGAATGAAACCTCAGTATTTAGGGTGTCTAGACAGGTCCCAGTAACCCAACAAACGATAGGTTTATAAATTATTTTATTTTTTATAGCATCAGCAACGATATATTCTTCTATTCCTCCTACCTCTCCCAATAAAACAAGTATCTTTATATTTTTATTTTCTTGTTGACGTAACAAATGCATCAACATAGATGAACCAGGATATCTATCTCCTCCTATAGCAACAGCCTCAGCAACACCATCAGCAACACAAGATATTATATTATTTAATTCATTCAGCATACCACCAGACTTCGTTACTACTCCAATACTCCCCCCCCTATACAGCTGGCTGTTCATTATATTCTCAAGTGACCCTCCTGTATTCCCCAGCCTGAAACACCCAGCACGGATACCCCCCACTGTTGCTGGGCCAAGCAAACACACCCTTCTCTCTCCTGCTGCTCCTGCTGCTGCTGCTGCTGCTGCTGCTGCTGGTTGTTGTTGTTGTTGTTGTTGTTGTTCTCCTCCTGCTGCTGGTGTTTCTGCTGCTGCTGCTGCTGTTTCTCCTGCTGCAGCAGCAGCAAGAGAACGAGAAACACGTTCAGGGATGCCTTCGGCGATGGTGGCTATACACTCAAAACAACTATACTGCAGCGCCTGCATGCAAACTGCAGCAGCAGAACGAAAAGAAGCAAAATTTATTAACACAGATACATCAGGATAACCACCCCCACCACCACCACCACCAGCAGCAGCAGGAGCTGCAGCAGCAGCAGGAGCTGCAGCAGCAGCAGCACCACCACCGCCACCACCACCAACAACACCAACACCACCACCACCAGCACCACCAGCAGCACCACCACCACCACTACCACCACCAGCATCACCACCAGCACCACCATCACCATTATAATTTTTTTTATAAAAGTTAATATTTTTTTTGTTAGCTTTCTCTATAGCTTCCTCAAGAGTGGAACAAACAGGAATGAATACTTCTTCGGTGCCGAAATAAAAGGGCCTTAAATGGCTTTCAGTGAATTCATAAACAATAGCAGAAACAGAAGGAAAAGAACGACCACAAACATGATCAAAGTCAAGCATCTCCTGTACTGCTCGTGTTTGTAAACCCCATACTATACAACGAGTTGTTTTATTAAATAAACCCTTTTTATCCGTATCATCTTCTTCTTCATCCTCTGCTGCTGCTGATGATGGTTGTGGTGGTGTTGCTGCTGCTGCTGCTGCTGCTGCTGCTGGGGCTGGGGCGGGGGGAGAACGGAGTTGGTTGACTTGTTCTATACAATGCTCAAAGAAAGGGTTTCTATCTATTTCTGTCATAGATACTTCTTTCCATGTATCTACTCTATGCAGAGTATTGCTGCTGCTGCTGCTGCTGCTGCTGCTGCTGTTGCTGCTGCTGCTGCTGTTTGTGCCGTTCATACAGCTGCTCTCCTCCTTGCTGCCGTTGCTGCTGCTGCTGCTGCCATTGCTGCTGCTGCTGCTGCTGCTGCTGCTGCTGTTGTTGTTGTTTTCTTTATTGTTTTGTAGAGCATAAGGTACAATAGCAGTAATGTATGTTTCAGGTCCATATACAAAGATATCTAATCCTGTTTCTGCTGCAGTCTGCCGCATAAGCTTCATTCCGTCTTGGTAGCCAGGCCCCCCTCTCCTTACATAAATAGAAACCTTAAAAAATAAGAGTTTATTTGTATATTCTTTTATAGCTT